GTGCTTAAAATGCAAAATTCAGACCCTCCAATTCAAGTATTTGGATCCAGGATGTTGGGTTGGCCACAATATAGTTGGAACAAATATTCAAAGCTTGTCCCAGATCTCAAATACCCCAAAAGCATGAGAATCTTCAGTTTGGAGATCATCTTTTGGGCCCATCTATGTTGAGGTAATACCCTGGGTGTCGCTTTCTAGACAAAGGCAAATCTGTTCACGTTAATCACAGTTGCAACCAAGTTACTGTCATGTATGTAATGTACAAACTCTTTGAAAAGAAGAGCTATAAAGGAAGAATGACAGAAATTTTGGCATTAGAAATTTCAAATAAGATTGTACAACACTCAGAGAAATGTATCCATATTTAAAGAGAAAAAAAAATAACCCAGTGACTTTATGTCTAGACTCCTGTGTAGCCTTACTGGCTCTTTGCTTTGCCGAAAACAAACTTTATGTACAATTTCCCCAACACTCCCTCCCTCCCAAGCCCCAAAACACGCGCACGCACACATTTCTCATTCCAAAAAAAAGCAAATAAACTAAACATAGAAAACATTGCAAAATGTCTCTTAGACATAGTTTTTTTCCCCGGAGAAAAACATTTTGTTTTAGAAACTGCCAGATTTGTTAAGTGTCCTACCCTATCTCAAGCTGTGAGGCATCAGATGCCTTGCATTCTCTTTACAAGAAAAAAAAAAAAAAAAGAGGAAAAGAAAAAAAGAAAGGGAAGTGGGGAGAGGGGAAAAAAAGTCAAGTTTAAAAATATAGGCCCTAGTAACGTTACAAAAAAATCCTGACATTAAATACAGCCAAACTGTATCGAATGAAAATTGCACTAGTCCTCTGGGCATCTCAATAATAAATTAAATACTTAACAATTTTACCGATTAAAAAAGACAGCACAAAATCCATAACAAAAGAACATAAAAAACCCAATACTGTAAGTAGGAAAAGTGCACAAAGTTGCTTTATACATTGACTCTAAATAAAGTACCGATACATTTTAAATAGATAAATTGTCTTGCCAGACATACTGCTTTTTGTGTCAGTATTTACATATTCTTTAACCACGTTTACTGGGACAGTGAGTGATTCCAAGCTTGTACGTTCCAAACCATACACTATTGTTCTCATGAGTCACTAATGTCGACTGTAAAATACAATGGCCTGGAGTGAACAAGCCACGCCTTCAGATCTCACTGGTTTATAGAAAGGATCAGCCAAATTTCTAACTCCTCTTCAGAGTCAGAAAACTGATTGGAGCCGATTAACACCGCATGAGGGAAAACGTTTCCAGCAACCACCAGGCTGGGTTTCATTAACGCAGGGTAAGAGCAGGAGGTTTAATGATCAACGTGTTGCTTTTTTTCTTTGGCATGTCCTGAAATTTTCTAGTTTTAATTCAATATTGCCTTTTTCTAGGGGAGGACATGGCTTGAAGGGAACCACATGCGGGCGAGCAAAGGTTTTGTGCAGATTAGCCTTTCTACATAAAATGGGACGGGATGGGATAATCAACAAGTCTTAATTACAGAGAAGCCGCCTGTTCCTAAGCCAAGATAAGCAGCAGATATTCAGCTGCACATGGATTGGTTCTTGCATAGTCCTGAGCCCTCTGAGCCCAATCTAGCAAAGCACAGAAGTACAGGCTGAAGTTTAAGCACGTGAGTATTCCTGTTGGAGTTAAGCATGTGGTTAACTGTGTCGCTGGTCTGAGGGCAGAGTGCTCAGCACTATATATATATAACAGTTTCATGGTAATTTGAGGAGGACAACGGAGTTTCACTGTTGGGCAGTTTCTTAAACCATCACAGATCCGCACAGATGGCGATACCATCAAGCAGAAAATTTCACACCAAGGAGTTGTGAGTCCAGGGTTTTGCTCAACAGGTTTCTGATCTTACTCACACTGAACTCAACAGCAAACTTCCCTTTGACCTCAGTGGGAGCACGCTCAGGCTGTAACTCAGTCGGAGGTGTCAGAGGAAAAGGTGATGCAATAGAAGAGGTCAGTCAGTTTTCAAGCTGTTTACACCTAACGTGATTTGGACAGGTGAGAAGGCAATGGTGTGGAGTGCAGAGAAATGAAAGGTTATGAGGTCAGCCATCACGAGAACAGATGGTTTATACCCTTAGTGGTTCTATGCTGAAAACTCCGAAGCTGAAGTGGATGAGGGATATGGAGAAGTGCTGGGTCAAACGCAATCGCCTTCAGCACCCCGCTTAACAGAAAACAAGAACCTTAACGGAGGGCATTGTAAGTGCTAATCAAAGGGAAACATTCCAACCCCAGAGGAGGCCACCTCTACAATACTGTGTGCACTTCTAGCTACGTTAGACATGATAGATACTGGTGTAAATCTGGAGTCACTCCACTGACTTCAAAGGAAGTGACTCCAGATTTACACCAAAATCAGAATTTAGACACCAGGAAGTTGCCCCCTGAATTACAGGGACTAAAATATCAATGTCCATTCTTTGTACTTAAAAGGTAACAAGTGACCATTTCACTACAAAAGGCCCAACCCTGCAGGCTTTACTCATGAAGTCTGTGGGCTTTTTGCCTGAGTATGGCATTAGCAAAGACTGCAGCATTTAGCCTCTAGTAAGTACCACGATAGGCATCCTAAAGCCTTTACTCAGCATGCACTCAGAGAAGAGTTCGGAGGAAGGACTGCCTAAGTATGGATTGCATAATGGTGTCAGAACCAGGCGCTGTGTGATTAAAAGGGATAGTGCAGGTGGTCCAAGGTTTACTGTGGGTCCCACCAAGTGTACAGGGCAGGAAGACAGCAGCACTATGTAAATGCTGAAGACTTACATAATCCAGCCTTGGTAATGGCATGTTATGTAAAGAGCATGTTATGTAATGATCTCTGTGCTTGACAGGAGGGCGTGTAAATGGAGAAGGAACAGCGGAGGGCTGGAGAGAATGGGATTTTATACTGAGGGGTGGAGGGGGGAAGCCATCCAGAGTCTGCTCTTGTGGTAATCTGGAGCAACTCCAGCAAACTCAGTAGGGTTATTCCAGATTTACAGCACATGGGTGTAACTGAGATAAGATCTTGGAGTTCGGGGAGTGGCCGTCCCACAGTTTCGAAGGGAGCAGACAGGAAAGAAGCCACGAGGGAAGATAGGAAGTGGGTGGCACAGCTTCAGGACGTACCCGACCCCACTGAAGTCAGTGACAACACTTCCCTTGACTTCCAAAGGAGCAGGATCCAGCCCTTTAGCTGAGAAAGGACTTAAAGGAATTGGGTGGCGTTTCTTCACTGTTCTAGCCCTGGATGTGCGGCATAGATTTGAGTGGAACCTGCTTGCTCGTGCTGCAGGTGAGGACAGAAATATGCCCAGAGAGCAACCAGCAGATGTATAACTTACCAAGGGCAGCAGCTGGTATGTGGAGCAGGGCTTTTATTAAAGGAATTGGACAAGTATTTGATGGAAAGAAATATTACGGTGTATCACTGCTAGCTTAACTGAGGGGATAGGAAGTCTTCCTGGCCTCTTGTGTTCCTGATTAAGAATTTCAGCCTTCAAGATCCTGAGCTTCTCCTGTTAGGCACCAAGAGCCCCCAAATTCCATTGGCTTCAATGGCATTTGGGGTACTCAGCGCTCAGTGGGACTGGACTCTTAAAGGAGCACAGTGAGGCTTTCCATGGTAATACACAGTCACAGGTTGGGCTTCCAATTTTATACACGAGCTCCAAGCCCTCTGAAGAAATGACAGCGTGGTGACAGTATCTCTGCTGAAACACCGCGAGCTCATCGAAAACACAGATCATAAAATCCAAAGTGGCTCGGAGTAAAAACAGGTTCCCCCTCCCCTCCAGCAAAAAAAGAAAAACCAAAATAGTCCTTCCAGTAAATGGAAATGGAGCAATCCGGATTCCCTGGACCTGCTGCAGAAATGCCCTGCTCGCATGCATCAGCATGAGGGACGACAGCATTTAGGGACACGCATACAAATAGAAATCCCCTTCTCAGAAAGGGGCTAAGTAGGAAATCTGACCAGGGAAAAAACCCAGCTGCTTGAGTTAGCCACTCAAGCTGTGGGTGTCTGATTTTAGTTTTCTTCCCTGGCACACAACCCATCGCCGGCGATGAGCCTCTCCTGGCCACAAAAAATTAGCCTCACTGCTTCAGTAACACTAACCACATCGCACCCTAGTCCAGGAAGCAGCTGAGCTATGGCTTTGACCAGCTAGCTACTGTTGGCTTAAAAAAGGGAGCTTTGCTGGTTTAAACCTGAGAGCATGTAAGGTGGGCGGCCATGTCTCTCCCTCCTGCCCCATCCCGTGTGCCTTTTGCAGCAGAGGATCTCTACCTGCAGCTTGCCTCCTCCAGACTTAAGAGGCCCCCGCATTAGCATTTTAAACCGGATCTGACAACTTCCAAACCTTGCAGTCACCCCATTTGCTAACGAGTCCTTCAAGTTGCTGAGCACCATTGATAAGAGAGGGCTCCAGCAACGGCACACTGTCCAAACAAATTTTGTTCATACGATAATTCGGGTGTAGGGCCGATCTATAGCGCTACAAATACACAGCGGGTTCCAAACATATCATCCAGCTGTATCGTTGGTGATTTTCTTCTGCCAATAAAGGGTTTTCTTTTCTTTTTTTACACTAAACTCGTGTGCTCCCTGCACACTCAAATCCATGAGCCATGGTCTGTGGTGTGCCCTGAATCTCCTCCTGTGTGAAATTGACCGTCTCTAGTCAAGCATGAGAATTACACACTAACACAAAGTTCCCTCTCCTTCCTCTGTGGCTCTTGGACTCTCTGCCGTAGGCATCAGAATCAGGCCAATCTGCAAGAAACACCAATATACACCAAAGGTGGGGCTCAGGCGGCATTCTTGAATTCAGCCCACTCAAGACAGCAAAGGAGAGGCAGGTGGGGAGTTGTCACTAACACTCATCTATATTAAGGCTGATGAACTCCTGTATACACTTCCTGTACTGGAGCTCAGTGGGGCTGTTGCTGGGATATTGACCTGGTTGTCCGAAGGGGCCCTCGGCTTCTCGCATCTCCTCGTTCATTCGAGCCAGACGCAGCCTAGAGGGAGAAAGAGGGAAAAAAGGAGAAGAGGTTTTATTATCCTTTCCTGACTAGCTTGGAGATTGCTCGCAAAGCTGGGGCCTAGCTCCAGCCGCAATATCCCCAAAGGTAGACAACACTTACAAGGTGACTATGTCTGCATTGGCTGCCTGGACTGCAATGCTGAGGGGGTCTTGGCCATCCTCGTCCACTGCATGCTGGTTGGCGCCTCGCTTTAGGAACAAGCAGACCTGGCTGAAAATGGGAAATGAAAGACTTCAGAGCAGAAATACAGGTTCCCCGGCCGAACCACAACAGTGGCGCTGTGCTTCTCACGGCTAGCCTGCTCTCCGGACAGGGGACGAGCTCCCGCTCAGGCTTTTGCACAGGAGCAAAGGGTGTCAGAGTGGAGGCCAGTGTGGGTCTCTACATGAGTGACAGTGAGTGAGTGAATGGGGGACCCAAACCCCATTGCCCCACTCAGATGGCGCTAGTGGGTAGTGACACCAGATCATATGCAGCGTGGCCGCTATGCTCCGTGCTTGCCCTCGGCACAGGGGTGAATTTCACCCCAAAGGGTTACGTGTCCTCAGAAGCAGGGGTGATCACACTTTTTGCCTAACTTCAAACCCACCCAATTGCTGCATGACCGAACCGAACGTTCAACTTGAACTCTAACATTAGAGGATTCGTCCAGGACAAGCTCATAGTACACTCAGAGGAGCTGGGAAATGGGAGCAGAGAAGGGGAAAGGGGACAAATAAATCCACAGGGTGAAAAACGGAGCCGAGACTGGAGAGAATTTGGGGCAGGGACTGTCTCTGTGTTTGTACAGCACCTTGCACAACTGGAGTCCATGACTAGGGCTCCTACATGAACAATAATCATAATAAACGCAGCGAGCAGCTATGAATCAGAGCAGAAAGAGGAGAAAGAAACAGTCTAATAAAAATAAATCTATGCTGCTCTCCTTTCATTTATACTGGTGCAAATCAGAAGTAACTCCACTGAAGTCAAGACCAGATCAGAGTCAGACCTACAGCATATAGGGTTCCATTTATGCCAGCCACGGGGGAATTGGGCTCTTCTATCCCTGACACACCAAACAGGCTGTTGTCCAGTAGCTAGAAAAACGTGTGATTTTCAAATAATTGATTCACAAAAACCCAGCCGCACCAGCCCACTGGGGCTCTTCGGTACGACCCAACCTGTGGGCTCGGGAGTGAGTGAGGGACTTACCCAGTGTGCCCCAGGTACGTGGCATGGTGCAGAGGAGCCCGGCCCCGGATATCTCTTTGGTTAACGTCTGCTCCGTTCTGGAGTAAAAATTCGCAGGCTATCAAGGAGCCCTGTTTAGAAGAGGGAGAGAAGTTTTGTTGAGTCCTGTTGCACTGCTGGATTGCTGATAAAAACCAAGGCTGCCCCGGGGAAGAGTCAAGCAGATCACACAGCATTCACAATGCGAATCCCATCCCAGGGCTGCCCCAGCAATGTCAGGCATATCAAGAAATGGAAAACCACAAAATAATCCATTACAGTTGGAGAGATAGACATGCAAGAATAAATATGCCCAAAGCAGCTCCAGAAGGGTCTCCCTCCTTGTCTTATCAGGCTAAACTCTCTGAATCCTCATCCGATCCCTTCCCCAAGAAGGGAAGGCTTCATTTTAAAGGGGGAGTTTCTAATTAGAAACAGCCAGCACTGGGCTTGGTACCTGGTGACATGCACACGGGTGATGTACAGGCCTCCCTCTGCCAATGCACCTGGACCTAGACTTCTGCACCCCCTGCTATCCCAGTGCTGGCCCCCACCTGCCACTCGGCCAATGCACCTCAGTCCTGGCCTGCAGCGCCCGCTTTGATTCCAGTCCCAGCACTAGCCCCTTTGCAGTGTGAACAAACAGCCTCTAATGCCACCAAACTAGGCACACTTGGCATCTGAGACCGATTTAAACACAGGACTCTAGGGCATTAACCAGCTGCATTATCAGCTCTGCTGAACCAGCCCCCCAGCCTCCCCCAGGGTCTGCATAGCCCTACCTACCCCCATCACAGCTTGAATCAGAGGAGTTTTGTTTTCATCTTCGTCATTCACCCAGTTGACCTCGGCGCCATGTGCCAGGGCCTCTGCCATGACAGGCAAGTTCCTGGCCTGCGCTGCCTTGTAAATCAGCAGGCCAGGGTGCAACTCCCGCAGGTCCTCCAGGTCCGAGGCCTCCTGCTCTATCTCCGCCTCGCCGCTGGACTCCTCCGACACTTCGCACTCTGGCGGGGGGCGGGGAGGGGACGGAGAGAGAGGAGGGATGAGCCAACGGCACAGACCCCACATCAAGCTTTGCCAAGGGGCTCCCCACTTTCCCATTCCTTCTGCCCCCTCCTGGCTTTGGGGCCTTGTTTACTGACGGGGGCTCATGCCCCAAGCGCACAGGGTGAAGGGGTGATCTCTTCTCCTTCTGGAGACCCCGGGAAGGAATGGAGCGACTATCCCCACCAGGGAAGAACCTGGGCAAGACGTGGGCAACTCTTTGGAGAACCTCAGGGAGGGCTAGGGGGTGACACCTTCCCTCTCTAGAGAGCCCGGGCATAAAGGGTGGGAACTGCTCCTTGCTCTGGGGCTCAGGGCATGGCACCACAGGGGTCACTCCCCTTGGCAACGCTGTGGGGAGATTACCACCCCCCTGGAGAGCCGACGGCCCCTCAGGGATGGTTATGGAGGTGCGCTGCTTGGCGAACCCGTGCCCCCCACCCCCACGTTTTGGTCAGGCATCCCTGAGCATGATGCAGTGCGGCACGTGCCAACGAGGCGACGCCGAGGCCCGTCACGCTCACCTTCCTCCGTGACGCTGTCCACCACCGAGCCGAACACCAGGACATCGGTGCTTCCGTCTGTGCTGCCGCCCAGCCCGCTGTCGCTACTCAGACCTGCGGGGCCAACAGAAGACAAACCGAGACCGTGTTAATACGTGGGCAAAGCCTGCTCGTGGCGTAGCAGGGCGCCCGTCTCCCCGGGCCTTTGCGGGACCCTCCAGCCTTTCCCGCTGCATCTCCTTCTGGCCCGAGCCCCAGGAGCGGGGCCCAGAGACCGGGTGGTGAACGGCCGGCAAGGAGCAGCCGCAGAGAGCACTTTACAGCGGGGTGTGCGGAGTCAGAAGCTGATAATGACAATGCTCTGCTTGTATCCGTAGCTGCCCTGGCTGTGCCCTCCCGAGCGCTTTCCCACCACCCTGCGGGAGTCACCGGCATGTGCTGACCCGTCACTGCCTGTGGTGGGTTAGCTTGCCCAGCTCCCTGGGCTGTTAGTTTATACTGTGCTTCACATCTGCCAGGGGCCGCCCCTCCTCTAATGAACCCTCGCAACGCCCTCTCCCCCTTGGGCTGCTAAATATCCCACGGTGGGCAAACATGTCACAGAAACTGAGGCACAAAGAGATGAAGTGACTTGACCGAGGACACACAGCACCTCCATGGCAGAGCCTTTTTGCACCCTGCCCCTGACTTCTGTGGAGGTGGCAGCTGAGAAAATGCCAAGGGGGCAACCCCCGTGGCCGGGAAGAAAGGTCTCCAAAGGGATGCTGCCCCTTCACTCACCCCTTACTGGCTCCGGGCATGAATCGCCTCCCCGAGTTTGTAATGAAACTCACAACTCGGGGGCCTAACCCAGCTGTTTGCCTCACTAGAATGTCTACCTATCTCTCTCTGATCTTCCTAAGGTACAACCCCTGAAGGGTCACATGCCAGTCAGCCTGACCCTCCCCACTAAGTCATGCCTAATCCTTTGTGTTTACACAGGATTCAACCAGATAGTGTCCGACACTTTGCCCCTTACACACAGCCCCCAAAACAAGATCCCCACTAAGTCATTCCTAAGGTGCAACCCCTGAAGGGTCACATGCCAGTCAGCCTGACCCTCCCCCTAAATCATGCCCAATCCTTTGTGTTTACACAGGATTCAACCAGACAGTGTCTGATACTTTGCCCCTTACACACAGCCCCCAGAACAATATCCAGCAAGCCCCGCAAGGACCATAGCTAATGTACGAGGAGACACCGGCTGGCTCGGAATGCCAGGGCAGAGCAAGGCGCTCAACTTTTAAGGAGGAGAGTCCCTGCCTTCAAGCGCACTGAACTTTATGTTTGTAGTAGGCACTCTCCTTCCCTCCTGGAAAGGACAGAACCTTCCGCTCCAGTTCCCACTGCAGTTACAGCTGCAGGCAAACCAAAGGAGAATCGTTCCAGGAACATAGGAGCCCACCAGACTGAATCAGATCTGAGGCCCACCTAATCCAGCAGCCAGCACCAGACATATCAGAGGAAGGTGTAAAACGGATGTGGGATAATCTGCCCCTCACATTAGGTCTCATCCTCATTGCAAATAATCCCTGAAATATGAGGTTTAATATCCCATCCAAAAATTTGTTGTCATTAATTATAACTCTGGGTATTCTTGATATCCACAAAAATGTCCCATCCCTTTGTGAATCGCTAGCAGAATGGGATGGTCCCGTAGAGATATGGGCCCAAACCAAAATCTCCAGGGTTTGGATATACCTGAATTTAGGATCCAGATCCAAATCAAGGTGCAAACTGGGCAACTTGGGCCCCTTGTGACTTCCAATGATAGGAGTCAGTTACTTCCACCAAGTTAACTCACAACCTCTCACTTCAGGATTCAGTGGTTGGAACAACTGTTTAAAGATGCAAAAAGGACACAGAGACACCTGAGTGATGTCCTGCTGCTGGCTTGGCTTCCCTTTAAATGCAACTGCATTAGCAATTTTTCATTCTGAATAAAGTATTGGCCAGTTTAAAAGCAGGCTTCTGATCTTGCAATTCCCTTTCAACACAAAATTATAATAAGATTTGGCAGTGTAACCAATAAAAAACAATTGCAAGAAACATAAAGAGAAAAATCAACCACCGTTAATTTATGAATGAAGTCATTTTGTGTTCGACATTTTGTTCCAGCTGCTGACCTGTTACATCAGTGTAAAACCAATGATGTAAGTGGAATCACTCCAAACTTACACTGGGGTGACAGAACAGAATCTGGTCCAAATTTGTAAACATCAGGCACTTTATTCTTTGTCAGTGCTCTTGATATGCCATTGGGAAATTAGTAATAAATCACTTTTAGGAGTGACATAGATTTTTCATGGAGCGATGAACAATTTTTTCAAGCGTTTCTGTTTAGTATGCACAGCAGAAGGGTAAGGTTTGATTTCGTACTTGTTTAATATAAAGAACAAGTATTTACAGGGGTGGCTGATTGATTGTCAATCCACTGTCACTTTCTTGTAAGCTAATGGTGGAAGGCTGTAAAAGCTGCTAAGCGCCTCCCACAGGGCACTTAGCATCTTGCAGGATCGAGTCCCAAGTTCTTTTCCTGCATAAAAAATGACGTACTCATAAAAGTGATGGTGTAATAGCATCATCCAAAGCCAGGTATGTTAGGGGCAAGAAAGCTTCCTTCCTTCAGCTCGGCCAATACATTCAATCTTGCCATGACACACACACAAGGATATTCCAGTGCTGGTGGTCCCCTGAGCATAGGGTCCCAGTTAGGTTGAATAGTGCTGTATGGCAGATTTGTTATAGGGACAATACACCCTTAGACACAAGATCAAGAACATCAAACTCATTTCATTTCTGACCTTGAAGCAGGATTTGAGTCCCAGTTGTCAGAGGTGCCCAAAGGCCTGTGAACTCCTGGGCCATAACTACAGCAGGGAGGGTAATTCTTAGCATATAGTTTATTTGGTGAATTTTGCTTCTTTTCCCTTTTTTCCAAACTGTCCATGAATAGGCCCCGAGTTTCTCAAATTTCTTCATTATTCAAAATCATTTCTTGAAAAATGTCAGTGACTAATCCTTGGCCCCTGGATTGCTTTGGATTAGTTCCCTGCAGGTAATGGATATCCAAAAGACAAACTGTTTTGATTGGATTAGGCCTCAGAGGCTGTTTCTGTGCCTTTACTGGATGAGTGCAACTCTTTGGATCAGGTGTCCAGTGTAAGAATTAAAATGTCACCTTGTGTGAATATTCTGCAATGTGTCATTTTCAATGTGCTGCTTTGACAAATGTTCCTGCCAGCAAACTCCTTGCAGTGTTTTGTAGAAAGCGAATGCAAAAGAGAAGCGAATGCAGCCAACCAGGCTAGTTTGTTAAAAATGTGAACCAATATTTGAGGAAAACTGTTTACAAGATTTGCCAACTCTGGCCAATAAAGGCCCCAGTTCTGCAATCGGATACACACCTGTGCCCATGTGCAACCTCTTTGGCTTCAGCAGGATTCTGGATATGAGCAGGGGCAGAGGTCTGCCTCCATAGATATGAGTGGGGGATTAGGACCACGTGCACTAAGGGTTAGACTTCGTTCTCAATAACATCAATGCAAATAAAGAGCAACTCCAATGAGGACAATGGAATTACTCCAGATTTACCCTAAGGGAGTGAGCCGCCCATGGCATGTACACAGAATCTGCCAAAGCACTCAGCACTAAATTAACTCTGCTCCCATGGAAGTCAGTAGTAAATCTAAAAAGAAAAGGAGTACTTGTGGCACCTTAGAGACTAACCAATTTATTAAATAAATCTACCATTGCCTTCAACGGGAGCAATGTTAGGATAACGCAGAGTGCTTTGGAAGAGTCCAGCGCTAACTATGCTGGTAGAAGGATCGTTTAGCTAAAAATTCTGAATCCAGGAGTTCCCTGAAAATTAGCTTTTCCTGATACTTGCTCTGGCACCTTTGGAGCCCGGACTCAGCAAAGCACTAAAGCATGTCTTTAACTGATTTCAGTGAGACGTAACATGTACTTTAAATTAAGTGTGTGCTTTGCTGAATCAGAGTCTAAAAAACTTCAGCTGTTTGCTTCACTAGAATGTCTACCTATCTCTCTCTGATCTTCCTAAGGTACCTATCACGGTGGTATCTGAGTTCCAATGATGTGATTGCAAAAAATACATCTAAGTTTTGGTTGGAACAAGTCATATCTTTGGGGCTCTTTTGCTGCTAGCTGCTATGGCGTCACCTTACCTCCGTCCAGGAGGAACGGCATACCGCTCCCACCGGGACCAATGCCACTCCAGGGGCCAGCTGCCAGCGGGTGCTGCATAGAGATGTGGCTGGCACCTAAGAGGAAGGTGGACGGAATGTGAGGGGAGTTAATCGTCACAAACACACAAAAAAAAAATGTTAGCAGTAAGACTTGCTAAAAAATAAAAAAAAGAAACAGCTGGTGAAATGCTCAGGTTGGGGGTAAAGAGCGCGAAAAAAATCCCATTCACCAAAATACAAACGCCTGGGATTGATTAGAAAGAGATTTTAAAAAAACAGTGGAATAAAAAGGGCAGTGGGTTGGGGTTTGTGCAAGTAACTCCCCATCACTCTCTTGAAACATTTCCCCCAGTGTGTGTGTGATTTGGTCACTTCTCCAGTGAGACAGATACCTTGCCGTTGGTCGGGTGCAATGCACATGCCCTAGAAGAGGTGGGAGGCAAAGACGTGCCCAGAGGAGAGCTGTGTTATTTGTACTTACTGCGTGGTCCTGAGCCGGTGCCGGTGTCAAAGTACGAGAAGAGGGAGTCCAGCTCGTCGGGGCAGAAGAGAGAGTCTCGCCGGAATTTCCTCTCCAGAGTGGCAGCTGTTTGCAAGGAGGGATTTTTAAATATGGAGGAGGAAAAAAGACAATCCCATGGTCGCATTTGTACAATCTGAGCCTGAACATCAAGTGTGCTTCAGAAGTGTGCAAATCTATGCCGATAACAAATGGGGAGCAGGGACGAGGGGGTAAAATCACCACCATCCCATGACATTTTGGGCAGTTGGTAACCCTAGGACTGTATTCTGGGCCAGCTGAGTAAAAACAGTAAAGGAGGTTTGAACCGAATGAAAGAACAGAAAGCTGTGGTATAAAGGAAGCAAAAGAAGGGGCCTGCTGGTCACCTCAGTGTAATGGTCCCACCCTCTACTACTAAGAAGGCTTGTTAGGAAGATACAGCTTGTTAGGAAATTCCATGGGTGACCTGTGCAAAGGACATGCTGGGGCAGCAGTATTAGGTCTTATAGCCTCTGCAGGCTGCAGCCACTAGGGGGAGACAGGAGCACAGACATGTTATCAGATCCAATATACCTACATTGAGGACAGTGCTACACACATGCACGCACGCACAAAGGTGGCTGTAGCCCAGTATATAGGAAAGAAAGGAGGGGAACGGGTTTCCACCTGATGAGAGCGGGGCCGGCGATGCATTTCCTGCCTCATGCCGGTACTTCCTACGAGCCGTAGGTGCTTTTGTGGTGCTGTTGTGTCGCTGGCATTTCTTCACACTCCAACGCCGGGGTTTCCTCTCGTTCTCCGCCAGGGCCTCCCCAGTAGGCAACTTCTTGAGGAACTTCTTCTCCACATACTTGACCTTGATCCAGGCTTCCTTGTCTTGCCTGAGGGCAGTGCAGAAAAAGGCATTTACCGTGCCATACGGGGCTCATTTAAACCTACCAAGAGAGCCTGGCAACTGCAGGTTCGTCTCACACCCCGAACCCTGAAAGCGCATGGGGAGGGGCTGATCTCCCATGGCGCTGGGACAGTTCATGCCCCTTACGCTCAGGCCAGTGAAAAATGTATCAACAGGCTTGCTCCCTAGGGTGGGGCACAGCAGGAATGCTGCTAAGCTTGGGAGATCAGGGCAGAGCATCCTGGGCCTGGTTCCCCAGTGCATTGGACCTTATGCAGCGGGAGTTAGTCGGATTTTACACCCACTTTGTAAGTGACTATGGGAGAGGCCAGGCCAGGAAGACCCAGGCACTAAGAGTCAGGATACCGGGGTTCTGTTCCTAGCTCTGCCACTGGCTCACTCTGTGGCCTTGGGCATGTCACTAAAGGTGGAATCCTCCAACCAAGGGGACGAAAGTCAGGCTTCTAAACAAATGGCCTGGTTTTCAGAGACGCTGAGCAGCTGCAGCTCCCAGTGACTTGCAGGTCTAGGTTGTCATCAGCAGGCCATGCTATGTAGCTGGACAGGGTAGGGCGAAGCTGATCTCCCTTTCCATTTCCTACAACACTTCCATGCAGATATACTGACCCCCCTGCTGGCCTGCACCTCAATGACAGAGCTTGGGGGAGTCATCCCCAAACTGGACTGAGAGGTGGGTGGGCTTCGACTTACCTGGAGCTCCCCGCAGTGGGCTTCTTAAGTCCCAGCTCTTCGCACTGTGCCTCGTAAATCTGGTTCATGGTGCTGTTCCCCAGCTCGCACATTAGCTGCGATACACCAAGTGAGGAACAAAGCAATCAGGAGAGCAGCCGCCTTCCACCTCCCCCTCAGCATCCCACCAGGGACTCCCACCCCACTTCCTCAGCCTGCTGGCACTGAAAATCAGCACTCACTTTCAGTAACTCTGGCTCCCAGGAATCCAGTGTGAGAGAGCGGACTTTGGAACAGTGAACGCCCAGACTCCTAGAGAACCAAAGGGGAGACAGAGACAGGTTATAGGCTGCAAAACAGACTCTATACAACAAAGCAGAACTGTGAGTGGCTCACAGGGTGAATGAGGGCAAACCCAGGTCTTATGGATGTAGCAAAAGGGATCGATTTAGAGAGGGAGAGAATTCCACACATACAGAACTGCCCCCTCTCCTGGCGGGGTTCCCACTGAATTCTTCAAACGAAAGAGGCACCCAGTTGAGTTATTTGTCACTGAATTCTTTTTATTTTTATTCTCCTTACTTACAGTCCGTCCTAGGAAACCTGGAATGGAACTAGGTTTCCTTACTTGGCACTTGCATTCCACTACTGCAGGTGAGTGCTGGCTTGTTATTGTAGGGTTGTCTGTGAGAGCTGGATTGCACAGCACACATGTGGTTTGATATCACAGAGGATGCTAATGATAATACTAATAATAATCTGCACATATATACCACCTTTCCCGCCACGGATCTCAAAAGCACCTTACAAAAGTGTGCAAGGATTATTCCCATGTTAGAAATGTAGACAGTAAGGCACAGAAAGGGTAAGTGACTTCCCCAGGGTCACAGGGCAAGTCAGTAGCAGTTGGGAATAGCGTCTAGATCTCCTGACTCCCAGTTTTACCCACGAAGTTCTTCATAAATTCCAGGACAGGGTAGCTGGCAGTAGAGATCATAACAGCTTCTAGAACGGCTGAAGATTTTATTAGTTAGTTTCTGTAAAATGCTCTGTAGGTGAAATATGGTAACTATTTTTACCACAACCAAGAGATTACATTTACGTCTATGTGGTAGTAGGCCTTGTGCTGGATCCTCTACATATATCAATGCTCCATATGCTGTAGACAGAAAATAATACGTGTGTGGGTATACAGCAGTATATAGTACCTGCAGAGTGAGTAAAAAGAAAAGAGGACTTGTGGCACCTTAGAGACTAACCAATTTATTTGAGCATAAACTTTCGTGAGCTACAGCTCACTTCATCGGATGCATCCGATGAAGTGAGCTGTAGCTCACGAAAGCTCATGCTCAAATAAATTGGTTAGTCTCTATGGTGCCACAAGTCCTCCTTTTCTTGTTGCGAATACAGACTAACACGGCTGCTCCTCTGAAACCTGTAGAGTGAGTGTGTCACATACACACACCCTGTTCTGTCTCCCTCACTCTTTCTCTCTCCCTCCCTTACACACACACACTCAGGAGTGTTCTATAACCTTTGAACCTGACTGTACACACATGACAGACCAGCTCCTGCCAGACATCCCGCAACATCCCGCAGCGGCAGGCAGGCAAAGCACCCAGGCCCTCAGGCTGGGCGAGCAGCACACACACACAGTACCTGTGGATCCCAGAGCACTCGATGCACAGCAGAATGCCCAGGTTGATACTGGCCCATCGGGGATCCGCCTGGCCGCAGTCACAGCACTGGTCATTGCCAGGGATGCTCTGGACCCTCTGCAGGATGCTCTCCCCCTTCATACTCCGCTCCCGAGAGTCAGTGGCAGAGTCGATGCTGCTGGTGGAAGGGGAGGCGGTTCGGTCCAGTCTCTGCAGAGAGAGAAGGGGAGTCACTGTGTGCTCTGCTGGAGGACAGATGGCGGGGAGTTACGTGTGTGCAGGCAGAGAGGCAGGCTGATGGGCTAGTTAGGATTTGCTCTGCCATTCCAGGGAGACACTATAGAATCATACTGGGAAGGACTGGGGAGGATGTGTGTGTGTGGGGGGGGTTAATGTGACTGTCACAGGTGAAAAATGTCAGCTAGACAAACCTGAGCTCATGCCAAGGGAGGGGAGGGTTGAGGATACCCCAGTCTGTTCACTCCCTTTGAATCGGAGTTTGGGGATGTGGATGAAGGGAAGCATGAATCTTTCACCTGTGCTAGTGACTTCTGTCACCAGACGGTGCTACACAACACACCCCTCTCTTCCCCCCAGTACTACACACCAAGGCTAGCAGCACACAAATGATTGCATGGTATGTACCAGACCGATGCCTTGTGCCTTGTGTTTGTCTCATCTTACCAGAGAGTGAACTCCCCTCAGTGTTCCCCAGAGGAGTATATCCTGGGGAAGGTGAGGGCTTCCGGACTGCACTCCATCACATCCCCAACCACGCTTTGTAAGCTTGCCTTTCGTTTGCTAAACTACAGCTGCCTTTGGGCCGGCACTGTCATCGTTTGAACACCGGTACATGCTAGCAAGTGCCCATGCCCGGGAGTGGTGCTGCGACAGCTTGCGAGCGCCTGTCCCTGCCCCCGGACTCACTTCGATGTAGTAGCTGTCTGGGCTCTCTCTGTAAGCGGAGGCGATGCTGGCCTGAACCGCCTGGATCCAGGCTTGGCGCAGCTTCTCTGAGTCGGCCTGCAGCATGCAGCTCCTGGGTAGGTGAGAGGCATAAGAGACGCTGGTTGGCGTGAGAACAAGGGCTTGGGGTATGGGACGTGGGAAACCACAACACAGTGAAGTGCCTGAGTTTATGACCAGCCTCACAGCCTAGCTTCACCAAGGGGGACGACGGTATGGTTTGGAGGTGAATGGTAAGGACATGAAGTTCCTAGGCATGGCTTGGGGCAAAATTTACCTCAGAGAAGCTCTCTCTCCTCACCCCACCCCAGTTCATTAAGGCAGCCCTGCTTTTGCCCCCACCATCCCCAGGTACATAGAGGGTGGGTGGAAAACAGGAATATGACAGTTCCTCTCCTCAGTGTGCGCCTCTGTTTCCCTCACACAGGCTGTCCATTGCGCACAGTGCTGCTCTCATTAGGTTTCAGAGTAAACAGCCAAATTAATCCCCCTTTCCAGCCCCGGAAGAGCAGTGAGGCTCGAGTGCTCCTCGCATCCCCATGCAGCCTGAGCAATGCCCCCACCTCCTGAAGCTCAGTCCGCCCATTAAGGGGTGACAGCACCATGGCCTCCTGATAGGACACTCCCAGCTGCAGGGAAATGCATTATGGATGCCGCCAACCACACACACACACATCTCAGCGTCCCCTCACCACACACTTGCAACCCGCCCCTCACAAGTTCTCTCCCTCATCAGCCCACTACACCCTCCCCCACGCACCATGTGCTCCCTCTTCCTCCTCCTCCACCCACACAGAAAATCCCTCCTTTCCTCCCAACACACGCATACACACACGCACACTTCCCTGCACACTTCCCCGCACCCTTCCCCGGCCTTCCCCCACTTACACACTCCTTCCCCTCACACACCTGCTCCCTCCACTCTGATGCTTATAATGCCATCAGCAGCCGGCTGCTTCTTGGGGAGCCATGCTGGTGACTCCACACTTTGTGAGGAAAAGCGGCCAGGCAGGCCCAGACCCTTATAAATTCCCTTCATGCATTATTCAGCAGCTCTGGCAGCTCCCCACCCTGACAGGCTGTCTCCAAACACCGCTCAGCATCTGGTTGAAAAAAATCGCCAGCTGATAGGACTGCAACTCTGAGTGCAGGCCAGGAGGATGTCCCCAGGTCGGAATCTACTTGCTGTGTGTTTTACAACCCCGTACACAGTCACAGCATTGCATTCTGCAGCTTCCAAGAGCCGCAAAACTTACTTGCTAGGTGAGACGACCTCAAAGCAAAATCTTCTCTCTATGTCTTCGCAGGGCTTGACGGTACAGAGCCGCAGGTCTTCCACCACCACCGTGAGGACATCCTGAAAGAAGGAGAGTGGGTGACTTTACACTCCTCTCTGAATCCCTGTCCTATTCAGACCTGCCACAGATCTCTTCCCCTCCTCACCAATTCCCTTGTCCAGAGCGCTCTTTCGTCTGAGTGGACCTCAGAAGGCTTCAGCGTTTTCGCTGACCCAGCCAACCTTCTTTGGTCTGCAAGTCTGGGCAGGCAAATCTCATGAAAATTCTCTCATGAAGTTTCTGGTGCTTCCAGCTGATGGCCAGGCTGGAAATACTTTGAGAACAGGCTATCTCCTGGTATTTTAAAGCACATCCCAAATCAGCAGGAACCCCAAAGAGCAGGGACCTGATAACTAACAGGAGCAACAAGCTTTTCAAAACTCAGATACAATTTGTCTTGAGTTGTGGACAAAGGGTCTTGTGTGGGGGAGAGGAGGGAAATTGTGTGTGTGTGTGTATGTTGGTGGGGAAATCATTGTGTACCCAAGCCAGAGTGCCCATGCCTGGACCTCATTTCCCACCAAATCCAGGAGAACACAATCAACACGACTGGAGATTGATCTTCAGTAAGTGCCAGGCGACCACGGCCTATTACACTGATCAGTGTTGTCTCATTGTTTCCTGGTACTCCCCCCGTCTGTCTGCCTGAGTCCATTTCTTGCCTCCTGTCTTATATTGAGATTGCGAACTCTTTGGGGCAAAGGCTGTCTTTGTGTTCTGTGTGTGTACAGTGCCTAGCACCATGGAGTGTGGTCCATCACTGGGACTCCAGGTGCTACAATTACACAAATTAATAACAATAATACCACAGCCTGGGAATTACCAGCTCAGAGGGAAGCCCCACAGATTTTGCCATTGTGCTGGATTTCAGGGTACGACAGTGCTGTCTCCTGCCCCTTTTCCTCTCAGACAGACAAAGGAGTAACCAAGCCCACTTTCTGAGCCCTGCCGATTGAGCAGACTACCTCCTGACAGGAACGGAGATTGCCCCGTGGAGCACCCACAGTCCAAACGTGGCATATCAAACCGGGGCAGGAACGGAGTTACTCAGCACATCACCTCTCTGTTACTCTGTTGGGCAGCAAGACTGGAGTCATTATAAACACCAGCCGCTGTCCTTTGGTTGTCAGAGCAGCTTGGGTTCTGAGTCTAATATTATATGAGAGGAAATTTCAGACCGGGTTTGCTGTCAGCTCTTCATCAGATCCAATTCTTCTTTCCCCCATGGTGCCCAAGTCCCCAGAACAGCAGGACATCAGACAAGTTGGCTAATCTGCTAATGTCATCTGAAATATGCTCACTGACCTTTAGCTTCTTCTGGTAGACCAGCTGGCTGTTCTGTATGGAGAACCACCTCCTGAGGAGAGAGAGGAAAGAAAGACGCATCAGAGCAAGTGAACAGTGCCAAAGCTTGGGGGTGGGGGGAGATGCAACCTACTTTCCCCTGAAGAACAGGGCATCTCCTCTGCACTTACAACATGTGCCCCGGTTTTAGGGATTGTGGGAAAGACCAGTGTGGAAATAAGATTTATCTTCCTTCTGAGACTAAAGAAGTGCTTTGCAATGTTAATGGATTATTGTATTTGGCACTGAGACACTGGGGTGACAAGAGTCCTCGATACTTCTCCAGAAATATTGGCATACAGACAGAAAGATGGGGAGGGATAACATCAGAGTTGTACACTTTGTTTCTTAAGTAGGCCAGACCTCTTACCCCCCCCCCCCACTTTGGAGTTTGCGGGGGAGGGAGAAGCCTGGCTGAGAGGAGTGGGGATGACAGGGCCGCCTTGGGGAGACGGCGCAGGCCGGGGAGCGGAGGGGCGGAAAAAGGCTTCCAGCAGCCTGATTTTGACTAAAATCAGGAACACAGCGGGCCCATTTGGTGCTGCAGGCAGAGGATGGTCTGTGATGCCTAAGCCCTAACCCCGAACTTTAACCCCAGGCCTAAGATCACTGGCTTTCCCCTGTATCCGCAGTGACTGCTCCCCAGCCACAGGCATCTGTGAGGTCACTGCCTCAACCACGTATCCAGAGTGACTTTGCTTGCCCCACCCCTGTATCTAGAGCCTATCGAATCCTAACAGTTCGATTCGTGGAAATCAGGCCTTTCCGGTTTTCTGACTTTCACCAAAATCCGCAGGGGCATTGTGAGGCCCATCCCTCCATCCCCCACTCCACAACTTTCCTATAGCACGTATCACCATAGCATTGAAGAGCGCTTTACAGCTGGAGAAACTAAGGCACACGCACACCCAAATTAAGTGCTTTGTCCAAGGCCACGAAGAGTCAGTGTCAGAGTTGGGATTATAACCCAGGTGTTCTCACTTCATTCCTGTGATTTAGCCACAAAGATCCTCTTTTGTCCTGGGGGAGCTGAGGGAATTGACAGCAATCCATATTGTTACAGCCCATGGAGGCTGTGTGGAAATATCTGGGCACACACCAGGGTGAGGGAAGAGCTCAAAGGCCTTGAATCTGGATGTTTTGGCTGCCATACTGCAGCTAGGCTATAGACAGCGGATTATTTAAAGCATCTACCACACGTTCAACATGCAAAGGAATTCGGTACCCTGGGAAAATGAGGCAAGAGAGGATTCTATTTTCAGCTCCTTGCTTGAGACATTGCTCAGAGATAAAAGGTGCCGATTGTAAACCATTTGCTGCGTCTGCCAGGAAACAGAGCCACACAGGAGACTTCAGGCCATTCTGCCTGCTCGAAAGCCCCTTTTGATCAGCTCCTGAGTGCGTTTGGAGCTGCAGCAGTTTGAGCTCCGCCTGGTGACAGCCGTTCTCTCCGGCAGTGGCAACGACATATTCTCAAGCGGCTTTGCTGTCACACGAAGCCAGGTGGAAAGCTCCCTTCCCAGCTGTTTGATCCTGGATGCTGCTCCTCACAGCTCTGTATCGCCTCCTGTTTGGTTTCTTAGCTGGGGCATTAGCATCCGGGAATGTGCTGGACTGTGGTGCTGGATCTCATTCTGACCTCAGGGGATCTTCTTCATCCAGTATCCTTCTGCGTATGTTTCCAACAGGGACTTCTTCCCAGGGCCCTTACAATCACCATGGCATCTTCCCACCCACGGTGAGGGGGAGATGCATGGCTGTGAAAAGCTGGGCTGTGGGGGATACGGACAGCTGTGAACAGCTGAGCTGTGGGGGGATATGGACGTCTGTGTATAGCTGGGCCATGGGGGGATATGGACGGCTGTGTATAGCTGGGCCGTGGGGGGGATACGGACGGCTGTGAATAGCTGAGCGGTGGGGGGGATACGGACGGCTGTGAACAGCTGGGCCGTGGGGGGATACGGACGGCTGTGAATAGCTGGGCCGTGGGGGGATACGGACGGCTGTGAACAGCTGGGCGGTGGGGGGGATATGGACGGCTGTGAACAGCTGGGCCGTGGGGGGATACGGACGGCTGTGAACAGCTGGGCCGTGGGGGGATACGGACGGCTGTGAATAGCTGGGCGGTGGGGGGGATACGGACGGCTGTGAATAGCTGGGCCGTGGGGGGATACGGACGGCTGTGAATAGCTGGGCGGTGGGGGGATACGGACGGCTGTGTATAACTGGGCGGTGGGGGGGGATACGGACGGCTGTGTATAGCTGGGCGGTGGGGGGGATACGGACGGCTGTGTATAACTGGGCGGTGGGGGGGATACGGACGGCTGTGTATAACTGGGCGGTGGGGGGGATACGGACGGCTGTGTATAGCTGGGCGGTGGGGGGATACGGACGGCTGTGAATAGCTGGGCGGTGAGGGGGATACGGACGGCTGTGAATAGCTGGGCGGTGGGGGGGATACGGACGGCTGTGAATAGCTGGGCGGTGAGGGGGATACGGACGGCTGTGAATAGCTGGGCTGTGGGGGGGATATGGACGGCTGTGTATAGCTGGGCTGTGGGGGGGATACGGACAGCTGTGAATAGCTGGGGTAGGGGGGATACGGACGGCTGTGAATAGCTGGGCTGTGGGGGGGATACGGATGGCTGTGTATAGCTGGGGTGGGGGAGATACGTACGGCTGTGAATAGCTGGGCTGTGGGGGGGATACGGACAGCTGTGAATAGCTGGGGTGGGGGGGATACGGATGGCTGTGAATAGCTGGGCTGTGGGGGGGTATGTATAGCTGTGAATAGCTGCCTTGGGGAGCATGGGGTACCTTGCTCAGACCTCCCATGGATCGTCAGCAGGGGTGAGATGGGGACTCACTTACAAACGTCCATCCCTGCCCCTAATGTAGATATCCTGCAATGTAGGAGCTCATCATTAATCTGACACAAACTGGAATGGTGTGGTGGCCTTTTTCATCAGGAAGCCTGGCTCTGCTGAGTGAAAGACTGAGAATCAAGGCAAAGCTCTGTATTGGAAATACTGCGGGAAAAACCATAAATTGTTCATAAATTCAGCTCAGAGGCGTGCCGAGTAGTTCACAAGTTAGCAAGCACCATATCCAAACCTCTGTAGCACTGGGCTGAAAATCGCACAAGAACAGCTGTTCTCTCCAGAATCTGGCACTTTGGCTTCTGGTGCCTCAGGAAACCTTGAAGTGCAGAGAATACACTTGACTGCCATGCAAATGGCAAGCACAGGGACTAAGAACATCAGACAATCTTGGAATGGCAAGAAAGGCCCAGCTTGAGTTGGAGGTGAAGGTTTCGGGAGGGAGGGGCTTACCCCAGCTTACCTGTCCCTAGGCATAAAACCAACAGTTTCTATACAAAAATACAGGGATGTTGTGAACTGCTTGTTTGTTTCAAAGGTGCACACTTCTACCTAGCTGCAGAAATTACCCTGAACTTGGACAGACAGGTGACCTCTTTGATTGCACTGCCAGGTGAGAGGGGAAAACATGAGTGGGTCAAGGGAGCATAGATCTTATGTACTAATAACAGAATCCAGTGGTTTGACTTCTGCTCTCAGCTGCACCAGCGTAAATCAGGCCCGTTGACTATCACAAGGGTTACTAGACACACACAAATATTGATTGAGGAGAGAACCTGAAGCCCCCTTTGCTTGCAATTCACCTAAGTCCATGGGAGCTGGGGAGCCTCCAGAGCTGTGCAGGAGGCATTTATTCAACTGCATCCCCAATGAGCCATCATCTGAAATATTTGTAAGTGACTGAGAGAAGGGGCAGTGCCCAGAGGAGCCAGGTCACAGCTGCATAGCTGACATTTCCAGGCTCCCACCTCACCCACTCCCAGGGAGGCTGGATACTAGCAGCTCTCGAAAGCCAGGCTTGTCCTGCTGTGTTGGATGTTTCTCTTAAGGGTTACAAGTTTACAGCTTTCCTGGGGAAAGGCTCCAGCTGCTTTGTGTCCTGTGCTCCCTGCATGAAGCTGGTGGTTGTCCTAAGATGGAAGGTTTTTGCTGTCACGTTTGCTGGCATTTACCAAGAGGCAGCAAACTGCAGACAGGCTGACTGCACTGGTTCACCCTTTAGGACTATACCCGATCTTAGCAAAGAAAGAACTAGGCTAATCCCAATGCATGTACGGTTTCCCACTGTACTATTTCCATGGTGAGCTTGGGCCCTGATGGACCAGACTGCAGGTAGCTGATAAAATAAAGAAGTAATAAAAAAAGAAAGATTCAATGACTTTCAGTGGAAGAGCTGAATGGTCCCACAAACATTTTCAGGGCCCGGAGAAGCCAGTTTGTGCTGCAGACACTCTTCACTATCTATAAAATATCCAGCTTCTTTTACTGAGCCTAAACCTTTCTCTTTAGAACATGCCAGCATCACAGGACCCTTCTTATATTAAGTGACTTCACAAGTTCAGCACACAAAGAGTTAAGTGATGCTGCACTGACAGACAACTCTGCATCAACCCAACATCACTTCTCTGTGTGGGCCTGGAGCTGACGAAGCCACTTAAGCAAAGGATAACACCTGCTGAGTTGTCGCAAAGGCAGATGCATTCAGAGCCCTCATCCAGTTATCAGTTGGGATTCACATTACTTACCGATTCCATGTTTTGAAAGCATTGCTTGCTCTCTTGAAGAGGTACCCTTCCATCACCACTCCGTTGGGGGCATCAACATTAAATTCCACCTTGGAATCATCGTAGGAGAAGTCCTGCAGGTCGAAACAGGTTGAGAAAACACATCAGGGGATGCTGGTGCTGCTCAGAGCCACAAGAACTAGGGCAAGGAGCAAAGTAAAAACACCCAGATAAATGGGAAACTGTGACCCCAAACAGCACATCAGTGTTAGGACCATGAGGATATCCAACTGGGAAACATGTGAACACCTGTAAGAAGGTTCTGTAGCTGCAGGGGTTATTTAAAGCAGCCTTTCCCTCAAGGGAGGCCTATGCTCCAATCCTTGATTAGGTTGCAAGAGAAAATAAGTTTGCTGGTGTCAGCCCTGGTTTTTAGTGGAGGCTAGTTTGCATCTTGAGAGTACTTCTTCTCTCAGACGTAACCCTCATGATGGCCAGACTCTGGTCCAGAGGTTTAAGACACAGAGGGTGCGGTCAGGACTTGGCAGAGCAGAGTGGCGTTCCAGGACTGGCATAGCTGAGGTGATACACATCAGGCTGGAGGAATACTGGCAGATCCAGGGCAGGTAATAGGACCATAATTGCAGAAAGTGCTGGAGCTCAGGAGTGAGGTGGGGGCTGGGTTAAGAATTAACACTGGAATAGCTGAGGGGGTGCAGGACAGAAAATGTCGAGGCAGATCTCTGCCCATGAGAAGCTTGTTCTATCTGAACATAACATAAGAATGGCCCTACTGGGTCAGACGAAAGGTCCGTCTAGCCCAGTATACTGTCTTCTGACTGTGGCCAGTGCCAGGTGCCGCAGAGGGAATGAACAGAGCAGGTAATCATCAAGTGATCCATCCCCTGTCGCTCATTCCCAGCTTTTGGCAAACAGAGGCTAGGGACACCATCCCTGCCCATCCTGGCTAATAGCCATTGATGGACCGATCCTCCATGAATTTATCTAGGTTTTTTTTTAACCCTGTTATGGTTATCTGGTTGCATTTAGTGCTCCCTGTCTCTCACTGTCATGGCTATTCACATTCCTCTCCACAATTTTGGGTTTGTCTTATTGCCTGAGAAAGTGTTCACGAATTCAGTTAGTTCGGGCATTTCCCACCCTAATGATTGTTCCCCACAGTGCCAAATTACTCCAGTTTCCTGGCTTAGGGTTTTCTCAGTCAGGTTTAGGCAAAATAAGACCTTTTTGAAGACAGTTTTAAGTAATTTTTTTTTTATAAAAAGGTCACCCACAAACCACTGCCTCCTGCTGGGCATATTTTCACACAACACCCCTGAAACAACGATGCCTGCAGAATCTTCTATCTCACATTACTGCAATAACTGGGAGCCATTAATTATTCTCACTCCAGTATCCTTAGCTGTTTCTGTTGTTAGGTGTTAGTAATGTGTTAGGTGTTAGTAATGTGCACGCACTGTTCCTCCTCCAGTGAAAGCTGGGGCTACACTAGCAGCTAGGAAGAGAAAGTGCACGTGGCTTGGTATCTTGATGGTTGAAAATGTCCAACCTCAAGTGCAATCTGCAATTGGCAGCGAACAGACAGTAAAGTGTTGTTCCGTGGTTATGTTATTCTGTGTAACTGGTAATTGCCCTGGATGAGCCCAGGATCAGAGCAAACATGAGCTCGTTTACCATGTAGCTGGAAACAGGGGCAATGGATGGTGTTTCCAGGAGGGAAGAAGGAAATCACCAATCCCATTTCCAGTTAATGCATTCCACACACCAGCCCCGAGGTTTACTTATTCATCTGGCAAACAGACTGCCAGTCACATCTTCACCTATCTATCACCCTGATAGCTGACTTCCTGAGCTTGGCATTGCTGTGCCAGACAGATTCCATGGATTGTGGTAGCATGTGAGCAAGGCAAAGGGTTCCAGTAACTGGTCCCAGAAAATCCTCATGGAATTCTGCTGCCAGCGGAGGGCAGTGTCTCCTGCCTGATGGAAACCAGGTCATGGAGCCTGAATTACTTTCCACCCTAATCTGCTATACTAGGAAGCCAGTTCTTTCCGCTAGCTGCCTTCACCATTATATAGTACTCTGCATCCAGCTTCTGCTGGTATCACATGATCCCGAGAAAGGTACAACACAATCCAATGGCTGGAAGTTAAAGCTAGACAAATTCAGACTAGACATAAGGCATACATTTTTAATGGTGAGAGTAATTAACCACTGGAACAATTTGCCAAGGGCCATGGTGGATTCTCCATCACTGGCTATTTTTAAATCAAGATGGGATTTTTTTTTGAAAAGCTCTGCTCTAGCAATTATTTTGGGGAAGTTCTCTGGCCTGTGCTCTCCAGCAGGTCAGACGAGATGATCACAACGGTCCCGTCTAGCCTTGGGATCTGTGAATTTATGCTCTTGAGCATAAATATTTCTCTCCACTGTGCTAGATTCAGAGGCCCAGCCACACCACAGCGAAAAGCAGCATCATTAACTTAAGTGCCTTTACCAGCTCAGCGCATGGAGACTCTAGTGATGCTGCGTTGCTAGGCAACACGCACTTCAGTCTCATTAGGATGAGTTATTTCCATGTTCGGAGATGCCAGCTTGCCAGGGAGAAATCAGAATAATAAGAATAATACTGGTAGAGAAGGAGGAGATATAATGGGAGAAGACTGAGTCATTGCTTGAAAAGACAGTGTGACGCCCAATTAGCCAGGAGAGGCTATGCTGTAAGGCTCCCACTTAAAGGGGGTCCACTCGGCCCCAAATTTACTTGCCATAAAGGGGGGTGAAGCCCACGTGGTCTCCTTTGTGGATGCTTTTTATGTAGCATTACAAAAAAAGATAGAAGGGATTCTGATCTCACTTCAATCCACAGCCAAATCTATTGGCTTCAGTGGAATTACTGCGGAAAGACACTTGTGTAAATGAGGTCAGAATCTGGCCTGTTTGTTTTAGTGTAAACACTGTGAGCCAGAAGACGATGTCTTCTTTCAAAAATGAGTGACAAGGCTAGGGCATGAGATTTCCAGTGGTCAACATTTGCCAGCTGATACCATACAGCTACGACAGGTATTTTCTGTGTTAGTTAAAGGGAGTTCTGGGGGATCTCAGGTTCCACACAGTGGAAACTAATGATAAATACACTTTAAATCTGATGACTGTGTCGTACCTGACTTTCGGGAAGAGGTATAATTTGGGATCTAAATATGTTAATCAGGCTTCTTCAGCTGTCCCAAAACAAAAACACGTTGTAATAGCAAGGAGAGAATTTTGCTGACGAATGCAAGAAGGACAGATGGGCCATAGGCATCACTGGGGTAAATCCACTAAATATCAGTGGAGTGACATCAGGTGGGAATTCAGCCCTGCATGTTTGTATTTTATTACACTTTTTCCAATTCTGATTGGCTAAAGGTGGTTCATGTGATTCCCCTTCCTCCCATTATAATTTCACAGGATTGTCTGGAAAAAAAGTCAAGTGACAAGTGACCTGCTTCGAGGCTTCAAGGACAAAACGGGCAACTGCACCTGGAGAATTTCCTGGCCTTTCAAAAACCTCTGTTTGGCCCATCTCATCTTTAAAAGAGAGAGGATAGATAGATAGATAGATAGATAGATAGATAGATAGATAGATAGATAGATAGTGCCTAGCACAATGGGGTTCTGGTCCATGACAGGGGACCCTAGGTGCTGCTGCAGCACAAATAAATACTATTTCTATATACATACCCAGCCTACATATATTACTAATAGGAAATTGAGGTCCACCGTGATGGGTGTTGGAAGCTAGCTCCTCCAAAAAGCACACAGCTGGAAAAAACGACATTTGGGTGCATTACTTGAACAACACTTTCTCTTTTCTAATCTACCACCCCTCCTTGTTTGCGGGGGGGAGTCAGAAAAAGCCCCTGGACCAAACTGTGGTCTCAGTTACACCGGTGTAATTACCAAGTAACTCCTTTGACGTCAAAAGAATTATGCTCGGGTAACGGAGAGCAAAATCTGGGCCCTAGAGCTCTAAGCTGGATTTGTGAAGTAGGTCCAAGTATAGGAAGAGATTCGAGGGATCAAGGTCCTGTGTGTGTCTTATCCTTGGGAACGTACCCATGTGGATACTCAGAGGGGGAATGCGTTTCGTTCAGCCGCACTACACTAGAGGGAGGTTGTTGGGGCCATTACTAGAGAATACTGGAGTATCTAAAAACAAATCAAATCAGAAAAAGGGGAGAAAAGGGAAAAATCCAGTTTCTGCCCTCCCCCCATAGAAAAATGAGATGTGTTTCTCCTTTCCCACTGAGGCAGAGAATAGGAAATGTATGGAGATGGCTTGAGGCTGAACAGCAAATAAGGCTGGATTCAAGTCAGTTTCATGTCCCTGCCATTCACAGATTGCATCCTAGAGGATTGACCGCTATGGGCCTGGGGAGAGATTAGATGCTCAGGTCCATTCAGAGAGATGCACAGAGGCAGCATTACCCTTTGTCTTAAGGAGAGACTTAACTCTTCTGGTTCCAGACTGAGAAGCGTGGCCTGGGCAATGCTGCAGCGTCTAAGCCCAGTGTGGATCCGTAGGGCCAGTTCTCTGCTCCTCACTCCTTTCTTAATAAATACTAATCACAGCATTGTTAATTGTCCAGGATGCTGTGGCTTAAATAACTGATTCCTGTGCATGTATCCCCGCATTCCCAGCCCACATAAAGATGTTTCCTCCCCTGGCACGCTGGCCACTGAAAAGAGAGGGAGCAAAGACGGGTGTTCTGGAGGGGGGACTGCTAGAATATCAGCCATCTGGCGAAATGTCATTCCCAGACCCCTGCCCTCTGATTCTGGATTCATTATAGCTGCCGGCATCGGAAGCTCGTCCAAGAATCTGAGGAAACAGTGCTGCAACCGGTGTTCAAATAACATCAGGGTGTGGCCACTGATAGAGACAGCAAATGTGCGAAAACAGTACTGCCTCACCCAACATACCTGCTCCCTTTCTGCATGTGTCTGGCTCACATCTGCTCACTTCATGGACCCAAGGACGCTCTTAATCCTGTTAGCCCTGCAGAGCCATCCAAAGAGCCCAGGGAGACTGAGCGCAATTCTGTGCCTGCCCTACACACATCCCCATCA